CACTAAGAAATATCAGATACCAAAATAAAAAAAAAAAAAAAAAAAAAAAAGGGAAGGGGGGAAAAGATAAAAAAAAAAAAAAAAAAAAAAAAGGGAAGGGGGCAAGAACTGAAAATACAATGAACAGAAAACTTTTATTTTCTACCATAAGATCCCTCCCCAACCCCCCAAAACCAAAACTTTTTCAGTTCCCATTTCTTATTTTGCTTTAGTCTCTAAAAAGAAAAGTGAACCAAAAAAAAAAAAAAAAAAAAAAAAAGAAAAAGAAAGAAAGAAAAATGATGGGTTAGATTTTGAGTGATGCCCCTAGCAGACAAGGACACATTCTATTCTAAGAGTGGCTGACACTTTGTGATGCAACCACTGCCGACTTACGTGTTCACTGTCAATACCTCAAGTCAAACTGTGATTCTCTGGTGGTGGCCAGAAGTATGTCACTTTGGTGAACTATAACTTTTGAGGCAGACCACCGAAGCCAAAAAGATTCTCTTCACACATGAATACTACTACTAGGAAATGGGACAAAACTCAAACGGACACACAACTACCTCCAGACAAGTAGACATACTGAAACTTCTTTCCTGAAATATTAGCAGGAGTGTTTCTAAGTAATTATACTTTTTTTAAAAAGGGAGATGAACAATCAACTTTTAACTTAAAAAAAAGTCTTGCCTTATTGTGATTTGTCCTAAATGCCAATCTAAAAAATAATGTCTTTGTCAAGTACAGTTATCTATCTCCCTAATGAAATCTGAGGTTTGGGGACAGCAATGCTGTCAGATGGAAACTTGTGCGTAGTGGGGGGAATGGTCTCATTCTATTGGAAGGAGATAATTTCTTTCCTCCTTCATCCAATGGCCTCCTTGTCCACTCTGCCATAAAACCCTACCTACTTAAGTGACTTCATTTCTAATGAAGCCCGACTGTTGGAAATAGAAAAGACATGAGCAGTGAGTAATAAAATGGGTTCCCTTTAACAACAGGGATCTGATGAGGAAGGATGTAGATATTGGAGTAAAAAAAAAAAAATAGAGCCTTCTCTTCTGGAAATAATCCAGAAAACACACTCAGGATTGAGTTCATTTAGACTGAAATATTTATTAGGTACAAGTGTCCAAATAACTGAAAATTCATCCTTTAAAGTTTACTACTTCCTTTAGTCTCACTATTTTAACTTTGGATGAAAAGGTTTCTCAAACGAATCATTCAGCTTCCTACCTTCTTAAACAATACCTTAGAATCCTTTAATGCTGAGACTAGGTCATTTTTAAAAATACCAATGCTTGTAGAGGTCTGTGACAAGGTGATACTCCAGGACAAGCTGCAATATAGAGTGGACTACGCCAAGTGACAAAGTCCTCGACTACTACATTTTGGGAGGTTCAGGTTTTGCATCATCCTTTCCATCAAGCTTTCAGCTATCTGGGTGTTACCAGTTGGCCTCCATGCCATGTGACAAAGTCCTCGACTACTACATTTTGGGAGGTTCAAGGTTTTGCATCATCCTTTCCATCAAGCTTTCAGCTATCTGGGTGTTACCAGTTGGCCTCCACTTGAAACCCTGTTAGTTAATTCTCCTTATATACTGAGGAACAGGATATAAAGATTACAGATTTTGTTGACATCGTGTCTACAGAAAGAGTAAAAATGCTCTACGTAAGGAAATGAGATATTCCTCCTCTTTACACACAGGACTAAAAAACTTGCATTTTGGTACACAGACTTTGTGACAAATTCTTTCCCTTGTCATGAGCATTTTCGCCATGATGGAGCCTGGGTGGGAAAGTGGTTGAGAACAGGAGTTCTCAAATGAGACTGCTGGGGTCTGAATCCTGACTCCCCTTTTACTAGTTGTGTGACATGTGCAGAGTCCTCGCTGATGAGGATGGTGCATGAGTAGGCTAGGAGATAGTCAACAAGGACAAGCTGCACACACGCATATACATACATACTCTTTTCTTCTATCTGACTGCATTCCAAAGAGCTGGAGTTTTGCAGTTTTAAAACTTCTAAATATGTTGAGGGTTCAAGCTACCATTTTCTTCAGGGTTTTCTTGCACAACCTTTCTAGCCCATACCGTTCAGTCCTATATGATCCTCAACCTACTAAATGGCTCCATGGTAGCTACATGGAAATCTGGAGATGAAAGAATACTTTCTCGGTCTTTAAAAATCCATTACTATGGTCTGAATGTTTATGCCCCTCCTCCTCTCAAATTCATTCATATATTAAATCCTAACCCCCAAGAAGATGGTATTAGGAAGTGGGACATTTGGAAGATGATTAGATCATAGGGGAGAAGCTCTCAAGAGTGGGGTTAGTGCCTTATACAAGAGGACTCAGAGAGCAGCCCTGTCCCTTCTGCCACGTGAGGCCACAATGAGAAGGCACCATCTATGAACCACAAAGCAGGCCCTCAACCAGACACTGAATCTGCCAGTGCCTTGATCGTGGACTTCTCAGCCTTCAGAATGGAGAGAAATAAATTTCTGTTGTTTATATGCCATCCAGTTTATAGTATTTTTTATAGCAGCCCAAATGAACAAAGACACCCATTCTTAAGGCTATTATCTACAACTAATAAGATGAGCAGATGAGTTTATCTTTCAGGGAGGGCAACTCTTGGAGTTGCTGCTACAAGAAAAGAAACATTTACAAACTCAAAAGGTAGATTATTAGGGGAAAAAACCCCAAAAATCTAATATGAACTCTTTCCCATTGTCTGAGTCCAAAACCCTAGGAAGAGTACCAATATCCCAAACTCATCGTTTGCAATAACTAGCATGTCAGGGTTTGCCCGAATGAGTGAAAACCATTTGCAGGAAATGGTATCAATGTCAAGGAAGTACCCCATTCTCTAAAATCCAAAGCTCTCATTAGAGTGGAGCCATAAACTCTCTGCTTATCCAGCTCTTAACAAAAACCTTCCTAGAGAAAACATCCTTCATGAATGATCACCCTTGAGTCCCTTGCACCTCTGAATTCCATCAGTGGGATCAAGCCAGACCACCAGAAAGCCATGCAAGGGATTTTATCATCTCTACCTGTAGCATAATGCCAGATTTTATCCCAGGGTGTACTAAGAAATAGGCCATGTGGAATCTGTTACTTTATTTATTGTGAGCAAATATTGATGTTCCTCTCATGCAGTGCCTCTTACAATAATGATGATGATGATGATGATAATTTAAAGAATAATCCCACCTGGGAAATCTACTTTATACTCTCATGCTAGAAATGCCTTTGTGTCCTCTGAGAAACTGGTAAGCAACTTCCTTCCAAAAAGTGAGAATTAGGTATGTGACCCTGTCTCCTTTTGGCTCTAACTTTCAAGAAACTCTAGTCACTTTTAAAGCTCAGCTATAGCAACTATGAGAACTCTTCTGGCTCCCATATTGCCGACCTCAATTTCTTATTTCTTTTTATATTTTACCTTGTTTCTGATTTTCTCCTTGATAATTATTTTACTACAATATGCTTCTTGTAAGCCTCCCCAAATGCTTTTTGCAACAAAATGGGGTAGAAATAAATGAATCAACAAATATACAATGGCTCTAGCAGGGTGTCTTAGAGGAGTGAGATTTGTTGATGGGACACACTAGATCTAGAGGTTCTTAACCTGAGGCGCATGGATGGGTTTCCAAGAAAACTTGAGCCTCTTGAGAGACAATGCAAAATCATGGGTGATAGTGCCTTTTTCCTAGTTCCACAGCTTGTATGAGAGTCTCCAGAGGATAAGAAACACTGCTCTAGGACTCTATAGCAGGAGGAGACCAAGAATCTTGGGTGTCTAACTGGAACAAGAAAAGAGAGCCAGCGAGGTGCGACAAGAGGCTAAGTCAGCCCTGGGCTTATACCAACCCAGCACTTCTGTGTGTGAGCAATCTTTCTTATCCAAGTTGGACTATGGCATTATTCATTTGGTTGCATATTAACCTACCAGATGGTCTGTTGTAGTTAACAAGGGCTGGCTGCTGTTGTTGTTGCTGTGGTTGTGGTGGCGGCTGCTGCTGCTGTTGCTGTTGCTGCTGCTGCTGCTGCTGCTGCTGCTGCTGTTGTTGCTGCTGTTGCTGCTGCTGCTGCATGCCAGGCAACGTCCTTTTCCCCTGGACTGCAAGCTGCAGTGTTTCGGGGAGGGGCTGGCCCCCGGCCAGCATTTTGTAAGCTAAAATCTGAGCTCGAAGCTGATGCAGCTGGACAGGACTGAAAGGCGAGGGACCTCTGTTGGGCTGGCTCATTGCCTGTGGATCACCCGGGATGAGGGGCCCTGGCTGGCTTGGTGGTATCTGGGGTGGGGTTGGGCCTCCTCCAGACATAGGGCTGGAGACATGCTCTGGAGCTCCCAATGGAGACGGGTGCGGAGACATATAACCTAAAATAAAACACACAAGGAGATCACAGGCTGCCCCTGACGACCCTGAAAGAGAGGTATTCCTGAATATTCTGAGACTTTTCTAGAATGACACTGTCAGATATTCAAATTATATATATTTTAATACTTATATGCAGTTTCAAAGTTTAATATATAATATATACTATACATATAGTGTGTGTGTGTGTGTGTGTGTGTATACTTAAAATTTTTCAACTAGCCACATGAAAAAAGTAAAAGAAACAGGTAAAGTTCATTTCATAATATATTTTACTTAAACCAACATATGTAAAATGTTAGCATTTAACAATGTAAAAACTGATGAGATATTCTGCATTCTTTTTTTTTACACTAAGTCTTTGAAATCCTGTAAGTATCTTAGATTCACAACACGCCTCAATTCAGACTAGCCACACTTCAAGTGATCAATAGCTACATGTGTTCTAGAAGGCAACGTGTTAGTGGCTGCTGTTCACCTAAAGGAAAGGCACCAGCGGATGGTACTATACATTAAAAGTAGCTCCAATTGAGAGAACAAAACCTGGGCATCTGATATATCTCCACTGGGGAATGAAGAGTGTCTTATGGGGAAGGCGAATATTATTTGGTTTATGTTATGAATATCTTGCAATTATTGGGGGCCTACACTGTTTTAGGCAATGTGTTGGGCACTGTACATGGTATCTCAGTTGAGTTCTCTTCAGAAGCAGAGTCTGATCCAAGAAGTGAGTGCAGGTAATTTATATGAGAGGTGCAGGGACACTGGTAGGGATATAGAAACGTATTATAAGGAAGGGAAGGCAGCCAATAAAAGGTGTGTTATTTAGCCAGTTGCTGCAGCGGGTGCCTGAAGATTAATCCAATGCAGAGCTCTATGATATAAGGTAAATAACTTGTGTTCAATTTTCCCAGGGAAGGGGTGAAGAAGCTGGGGGAGTATGCAGACTCTTAAAATCATCAGTCACTGGTTATGATTAATGCTCTGGGGATCATTAGTCTCCAGGGACTTTTCCATGTGTGGGTAAGGTGGATGTCAGTAGATGACTTGACGGTGGCTCTAGCCAGTGGAAGTCAGGCTGGTGGGGGTGCAGAAATGGTAAGGGGGATTATAGTAGATATTGGTAGAGCATACATTATTTCTTCAACCTTCATAAGATATGTACTATTACCTCAATTTTTCAAATGAGGAAACTGAAGCTCAGAGAGCACGCAAGTTACCCAAAGTCACACAATTAAACCTTAGTAGCTCCAAGATTTAAACCAAGGTCTGTCTGATTCTAATGTGCATGCTCTTTCTATGACCTGACATAAATTTGGTTTTACAAAAATAAGTTAAGAATTTAAAATTTAGATAAACCTTCTAGAACCACTTACAAGATAACATAAAAATGAGAAAAAACAGGGCCGGCCCGGTGGCGCACTGGATAGTGCACCGCTTGGGAAGCGCGGCGGCGCTCCCGCCCGAGGGTTCGGATCCCACATACGGACCGGTTCCTGCTCACTGGCTGAGCGAGGCGCGGGAGCAACACCGAGGGTTGCGAACCCGTTGCCGGTCCCCGGAGCGGAACAGGGGCAACACTGAGGGTTGCGATCCGTTGCCGGACACGGAAAAAGACAAAAGACAAAAAAATAATAATAATAATAATAATAATAAT